GTTAATTTTAAGCTGTAACTGGGAGTCATGGTCCTCTGAGCAGCCCAGCTTTTTTAGCTGGTAAAGAAGAACATTTAAACTGTTTTGTAAATCATCATGCATTATATTATTAACTTGTATAAACTTATAATCTGTTGCCATTCTTGCAGAAAAAGCTCTGCATGTCTGAGGAACAGAGTTTTTAGTGGCATCTCTAATGCTACCATTCAAACCTCCATTGCAGGTTTGAATGGTGAATGCAAGTGTGCTTAAATACATGTTGCAAGGTTAAGTTAGTCGTGTCAAAAAAGAAAAAAAAAAAAAAACTCAAACTCTACTAAAAAAAGAAATAAAAAAAACTTGACAGTTAATTTAAATTTGGCAGAAAAAGAGCAAACACTATAAAAATGGATCCCTAGAAGGTGGAAGTTGTTAATAAGCGCTAAACACAAATTCAAATAACAGAGTGAGTGTGAGAGTAGACACGGTTTGGTTTCACCAGGTGAAACGTGTGCAGGCGGTGTGACGGTATTAACGGCTTATCTGAGGTGGCAGAGGGTTTGTTTGGCACAACTCATCCAAAGAAACGCTTTCTGGATCAAACCAGGCAGGAGACTGGATTAAGCCTCAGTCTATCAGCCTCACAGGTGAACTTTAACCACCTGCTGCTTCGTTCTTTGATTTAGTGGATTAAATCTTAGTGAATAAAGAATAAATCATACATTTTTATTCCATATTCTTTCTAACCGGACAGAAACCTTTCTACTCAGCTGTGTCTTTATTCCAGAAGAGCTCACTAACGGAGATACTAGAGCCAAAACTTCTGATGCAGCGGTGCTTCTGTGTTTTTATTTTTGGATAAATGTCATCTGTCTTTCCATATTCCAAGGAGTTTTCCTTTCCACTGTCACCACATGCTTATTCAGGAGGACTGAATGGCGAAAGTCAGTGGATCAATGCAATTTTCTACTCAAATCTACTTTATCTATAAAGCCTGTAAAGCAACCGCAGCTCCCACAAAGTGCTGGAAAACACCAAGGGAAGTTAAAACTGTATATATATATATATATATA